CGCGCACACCTACACATGTACCGAGAGAGAGGGGGGGGGAGAGACGGAGCGAGAGAGAAAGCGAGACAGAGACTGGGAGAGAATGTGAAGATATATCTTCATGGGGAGCCAAGCCATCTAAGCGCTAAAAATGCACACACACACTCAAGACACACGCACACACACACACACACACACACACTCGCTCGCGCGTATACACACACCACGCGCGCACACACACACGCGCTCACACATACACGCACACTACACACACATGCATATACACTCTTGCGCGTACACACACACGCGCGCGCATACGCACGAATAACACTCGCGCACACATGTACACGTGTGCGCACACCCACGCACACCCCCACACGCGCACACCCACGCACACACAGGCGCACACGCTCTCACAAACGAACATGCACTCAGTTTTTTATTAAATCATTTATTTCATGATGAATTATTTGAATTTGTAAATTTATTGATTCATTTGTGTATTCATTTATTTATATTCCGTGCACTAAAAGCCGAATATTCACGTTTCCATTCAACACCAACTTCCTATCCCCGTAACCAGTAGTGTCTTGGTAGTATACATATTAACACTTTAAAGTGGATAAACCTCGCAACAAGTTGTAGTCAATTTTTGCAACATAGACGAGCTCACAGTAGGTATGTCTATGCATTTTGCTGCGAGAACATGCAGTTTTAACGGGTATGCCCCGCGTTGGCCAAGCATCCGCGTAGGGGTTAACAATAGGGAAGGTAAAACGACTTAGAGCCAGTCTAGATAACAACTTATTTAAAGTTTTAAAAACGCGTGATTCCTATCTGCGCGATGGTGTTCGAAATTCGAATTCAGAAGAAGTAAAGTTTTCTTTGTGTGTGTGTGTGTGTGTGTGTGTGTGTGTGTGTGCGCGCGTGCATGCACACGTGCGCGCGTGTATAGGATCTGGATCCATCGCGCTACAACGAAGAATCTGATTTCGCGCCATTAGGATCAAATAAAAAACCTCTCTCCGCGTTTGTCGCCAACACCGACACCACGTTCATCCATCTCACCACGCCGCCCACGCACACGCAACTGCACACGCACGAGCACCTGCGCATGCACGCGCACCTGCGCACGCACGCGCGCCTGCGCACGCACGCGCGTATCAGCGTGCGAGATGTTTGCTTAGTGGATCATTGGACTAGCATTACGCGCGCAAAGTGGCGCCGTCTTTACAATTAGCGCGACAACGGATGCATGTCGTCGTCGGCTCTTTATGCAAACGCGCGCTATCGGCTCGAAATACTATATAATAGTGACAAAATTGTCGCCCATTCAAACGCCACCCTCGATCGCCTGCCCCTTCCCTTCCCAAACACAGCTGCATCCACAGCTGGCAATGCCGCATTGTGAGCGATGTTTAACGAAGCCCACATCGTATCGACGAATCGAATCGAGAGCCGAGCGTCGATACAATGTATTCGACCGCGCCGACCGATGCTCCCTTGTTTTTTTGCAGTGCTTGATCCATTTTGCTACTAGCGGATCAATGTTTTATTAAGGGTGTTGCTATTCCCCGGGCGTGGAGGGAGGTCACGTGATAACGTTGACGATGACGTTCAAAAAGTTAACCTTAACGGTAACCCTCACTCCAACACCGCCAACACTAACCCTCACACTAAATATATATGTCTTCGCGCCGCTTCATATAGCGCCATTGTGCCATCCACAAAAATTAATAGCTATCGTGTGGGGGACAGATATCATGATCGCAAAAAACCTTAATCCTCTAACCCTAATCTAACCCTAACCCTAACCCTAACCCTAATCCTAACCCTAACCCTACATCCTAACCCTAACCCTAACCCTAACCCTGACCCTAACTCCTGAACCCTAACCCTAATCCTAACACTATCCCAACACTAGTGGCTGCCCACGTTGCGGTCACCTCCCTCACGCCCGGGGATAGCATTACCTTTTATTAAGAAGGCGACCATGTTTTATCGTGTGCACAGGAAAACTGTCGTGCGGCGCACGATGCGCAGAAAATTATGTCTGCGGTTGCGGTTATAGACGCGCGTGAGTCTTGCAAATAATAGATTCCATTGTTAGAATAAATTATTGCCGCAGCGGAGATAAAGAGTGATCCACCCACGTGGCGTTGACGCCAGAATAGCGGAGCATGTGTTTATAGAAAAAAGGTGTGTGCTTATAGCTGTGCGGCAGCCGCCGATTCGTTCATCGGCAATCGTTAAGAAAAAAAGAAGCGGAGAGAAGAAATAAACACGCGCCATACACGATGTCGCATATTTAATATTGCAGGTGCATATTCGCACAGCATCGGCTTTCCTTCCATCGTGAGCCATCCATTGAGAAGCGATAGAGACCGAGATTGTGTGGGTTATTGCGCGCTACTGTTTGCTCTCGTGCGTGCTGCGTGTGCGGTTTCGTGCGCGGTTTGTTTGTGCGCGCGTGGTTCTGCGTGCGAGTGCATTTCCGCGCGTAAGCGAGCACGTGTCCCATGGATCATTCGGTATAGCTAT